CTGAGAACTGGCTGTCCAGGGGGGTCCCTTTAAGCACGAGCCTCAGATAACCTCAGACAGCAGCCACATAAAGCAACTACTGACCTGATGCCCTGCCAGAACCGGTTTCAGCCGCCCTTAAATGCGCCCCTGCGTCCAATCAGGTTCGAATTAACCAATTCAAACTAAGTTAGTTCGAATTAGCGCTGTAGTGTAGACGTACCCTAAGGTAGGGGGAGAGGTAGATACCTTGGAGGGCAGGGATAGGGTCCAGAGTGACCTGAACAGATTAGAGGATTGGGCCAAAACAAATCGTCTGTTAGTTCGAACTAACTTTGTAGTGTAGACATACCCTAAGCTAGGGGGAGAGGTAGATACCTTGGAGGGCAGGGATAGGGTCCAGAGTGACCTGAACAGATTAGAGGATTGGGCCAAAACAAATCTGATGAGGTTCAACAACATAACTGCAGATTTCTGCACTTAGGACAGAAGAATCCCAAGCATTGTTACAGCGTAGGGACCGAACGGCTAAATAGCAGTTCGGCAGAAAAGGACCTGGGGATTACAGTGGATGAGAAGCTAGATATGAGTCAACAGTGTGTCCTTGTAGCCAAGAAGGCGAATGGCATATTAGGTTGCATTAGGAGGAGCACTGCCAGCAGATCTAGAGACTTGATTATTCCTCTTTGTTCAGCACTGGTGAGGCCACATCTGGAGTATTGCATCCAGTTCTAGGCCTCTCACTTCAGAAAGGGTGTAGAGGGATGGAGAGAGTCCAGTGGTGGGCAACCAAAACGATTCGTGGGCTGGAGCACATGACCTACAAGGAGAGGCTGAGGAATTTGGGCTTATTTAGTCTGCAGAAGAGAAGAGTGAGGTGGGATTTGATAGCTGCCTTCAACTTCCTGAAGGGAGGTTCCAAAGAGGATGGAGAGAGGCTGTTCCCAGTAGTGACGGATGGTAGAACAAGGTGCAATGGTCTCAAGTTACAGTGGGGGAGGTCTAGGTTGGATGTTAGGAAAGACTATTTCCCTAGGAGGGTGGTGAATCACTGGAATGGGTTACCTAGGGAGGGAGTGGTTCTAAATTCAGAAGGGGCTGGGCTGAAGCAGCAGGACAGGCAGGGTCTGGGAGTAGTGGCAGCCCCCAGCAGTGGGGCTAGATCCAGCAGCAGCCCTCGGCAATCACCGGCAGGAAGTCTGGCCAGGGCAGCAACGGCGGGGCCAGCAACCCAGCAGGCAGACTGGCTGTGACTGGAGGTAGTGCCTCCCTTCTCCTAGCTGGTAGTCAGTGACTGGGAGTGTGGCAGGGAACCTTCTCTGGTCTTGCAAATTCCCTGCTTTGGGTCTGATCAGGTCCGGAAGGAGTTGGATCAGGAAGGTCCAACCTCTACTCTGGCTTTGCTAGTGGGGATTTCCCTTCACAGGACTAGCTCACTGTCCATTTTCTACAAGGTAGAGCAAAAGAGACAGAGCAAGATCCAGCATCAGGCCTTGCAGTTTTTGATAGATTTTATTAATATTAACAGTAAGCCAAATTATTTAGTGATGCAAATTAATGTAACAGAATTTGATTTAGTAGATTTATAATATCCAGAAATAACATCAAGTTTTTTAAACACAAATGTATGCAAACCAAAAACAAGCAAATGCTGGGGTTGTTGCTTTATCTGTTTAAACTGAAAGCATGTCACTTTTCATGTAATCAACAATTTAAAGATGGGCCATAAATAATTAAATTTTATGACATGTGAGATTAGGTAAGCATGCATTTTTCCTACGGCTCTCTGGATTTTTTCAGGACCTAGATAATTTTATCTCATTTACATCAAACATGCAGGTAACTTTATATTTCTGGGTCTGCATTATTTCTAGGGAGGCATAATACAATTAAAAATGACAGTAATTGACATTACATGCTTTAATTAAATTTCCTCCTCTCTGAACCAAAACCTATTAACCAAGCATTTCAGTACTATTTCTGTATTTATTTATTACATGGTTAATGTGCTATGTGTCAGATATGGTATTTATCTATTTTCACAAATTAAGCTATCGGTTTCATGTTGACTTTAAATTGTTTTCTATATTGATGGCCAAAACCACTTGAAACATATTTCCCTCCTTCCTTTGCTAAACTTCTGATTTTCATGAGACTTTGAAAAACATGGGTCTGAATTCAGCCCTTTTTGACAGCGTGGGAGAGACTAGGCCCAATGTATCTTATGTCTTTCGATATAAACAAAAGTTTTTCCTGCTGGACAACAGAATGCTTCTGCCAGGTGACACAATGACATCATCACATCATCAGCATCAAAAGTCTGTCTCAGTGAAGCAAAATAGAAAAGAGGTGGGTAGGCGAGTGTAGCGAGCAGAGGCCTCAGTCCCCTAGTGTGTGTGTGTGTATATATATATATATATATATATATATATATATATTGCAATGATTTCTGCTTAGGGCAAGGGGAAGCATGTTTTCTGAATCAAAGGCTAATAAAATTATTGATTTCTTCTAGATTACAAAGAGTAGAAATGGAACCCTGTTTGAAGTTGTTTGTGGGAAGCAAAAGTGGATTGACAGGAGGGTGTGCTTACAAAACTATGCTGTCCACCCTCAAGAATGTGCTTCAGACCATGAACTCATAAATTCCTAACTCAACATCTGCAAATTTTCTCCCTCTCAGGCTATGTCTAACCTGCACGCTTCTTTCGGAAAAAGCTTTTCCAGAAGATATCTTCCGGAAAAACTTTTTTCAAAAGAGAGTGTCTATACAGCAAAAGAACAATAAAAAACCTATGTGCTTTTTCAGAAGATAGCGTCTCAATTGATTGGACACTATCCTGCATTTCAGTTGTGACTACTGTGGACGGAGTGGTCCACCAGGGCACCTGTGCTTTTTCCTGGAGGCTTCTTCTTTCAAAAAACCACTCTCTTCTGCATCCACACACGTCTTTTTCTGAAAAAGGCTTCTTCCTCGTAGAAAGAGGTTTACTGCGGTCGGAAAAACCTGTGTTCTTTCGACTTTCTGTCATAGAATCGTAGAACCATAGAGCTGAAAGAGACCTCAGGAGGTCATCAAGTCCAGCCCCCTGCTCTAGGCAGGACCAATCCCAACTAGATCAACCCAGCCAGGGCTTTGTCAAGCCGAGACTTAAACACCTCTAGGGATGGAAACTCCACTACTTCCCTTGGTAACCCATTCCAGTGTTTCACCACTCTCCTAGTGAAATAGTTTTTCCTAATATCAAACTGGACCTCTCCCACCACAACTTGAGACCATTGCATCCATCACTACTGAGAACAGCCTTCCTCCATCGTCTTTGGAACCTCCCTTCAGGAAGTTGAAGGCTGCTATCAAATCCCCCCCACTCTGTTGAAAGAACGCAATAACAGTGTGGATATAAGTGTAGTTTTTCCAGAAAAATGGCTGTTTTTCTGGAAAAGCTCTGCAGTGTAGACATACCCTCAGAAAACAACCCCACTTTGCTTATTTTAAAGCTCTTATTCTTGTCCGCTGAATAGTACTGTAATGACACCCATTAATTTAAATAGGGGCCTCCTGGAACTATGGTAAATGCATGCAGTATTTTAAAGATGAAATCAGAGGAGAAACCAAGGAAACTTGGTATTTTATCTAATTGTTTCCACAATCAACTGATGTTATGCAGCATTGCAGCACTACCACCTTCCTGCTTTGAGGAAGTGGGTGCTGCTTCCATATGCCAGGTACATAGCGCTCATTATTGTAGTGGGCTAAACATCAACAGAACTTCCAGAATGGAGGCTAGAGTTCAATGAACAGCCAATCAACCACAGTGTTTTCACTAAGGTGAGGTAAGTGCTCCACCTAAAGCTCCCCCCAGGTACACCACTATGGGTGTGATGCAAGGCACAAGGTATAGAATACATTGTATCTTTTCTATGCTGCACCATTTCAGAACCAGGACCATGGGTGAATACTGGTTTGTAGTGCAGCTGGATAACGCTGAGTAAGAAGCACCTCACAATGTCCATTTATTACTTTGGCAGTAGTAATTCCTGTGAAATTTAAATGGAAATCAGAAAGGTAACCACTTTCTATTGCTCAGGATGGAGCCAGGATGTGTCATTTCCTCCTTGTGCTCCGAGTGGAAACAGACACTCAAAACTTTTACAGCTCCTTCAAGGTTTTAGTTATTTAATATCTTCATAGCAATTCAGTTTTGACGCAAAGTCAAAACTGATTATTATTTCATCTGGTCCTCTACTGAGCCACAGTCGCTCTCGAGGTGAAGAGGGTTACATATTTTCATTTCCCTGATGTTTTACTGTCCTGTTGAAGTCATATGTTCTCACTTCTTGCCCTCCCCCAACTTTTTGTATATGGTTACTTCCATTTGAAGTCCTGATTCTCTGCCTGATAGAGTTTTGCCATATATTTCCGTGGAAGTAGTACCTATAGATGTAGACCATGCACAATTGGTAGAAATGCAATTTCAACTTCCCTTGTATTGTGTTACACTTACATTTCACTTTCTGGATGTCTATTTTAATGATTTGGCTGCTTGTGTTGATTTTCACTCTTTAACCACTTTTATCATTCTGTACATCTGATTTCCAAAACCAACACAGGCAAATATCAAGGTGTTTTGCTTCCTGTTGCCATGTCTCTGTTCTGTTCTGCCTCATCCTTTTAGGATAATGGTGAGGATTTTCTATCCCAGATTGTGGGTGGAGGGGATACCAGTTAGTCCGCATTTGAACTAGACTCAGATTGCATGAAAATACATGTCTTACAGAAGCTATTCTAGTCTTTCATTTGATCATATAAGAGGTAACAAAAGATATAGTCAAATCTGCTTCTTAGCTCTCCAGACAATTTGCCAAGCTGCGGAAGGCAGATTTAGTTTGTTTTGCAGATGGTCTATGAGTCTCATGTGGCATCATATTAAATTATATAGGCAGTCAGTCATTTGTTCTGAAGTGATGCACTGAGCTGAGAGGTATCAGGAGTGTTCTGTTGGAAAACAAGCTAGACAGCTACAAATACAGCTTCACAGAACCGCCACATAAAGGAGGCCTCCAAGGAAAGGGTCTTAAAATACCTTGCAGACAGCTAGTTCTCCTTGTGCAGATAAAATGAGGGTGACTTGGACAGTGTACAATGGGCTGTGGAGCCCTTTGCCCTAAAGGTAGGAGATCCTACACTACTTGCCATTGTTTGTCATTTTGATTTCTGTGGTGTCTGAGTATTACTTTTTCTATCTGCATTTTTGTTGTGGGTGTTCATTTTTGTTTTCTAATATTTTAAAATTAAGGGTGGTTGGCTTTTCTCCTGTTACCTTGGCCAGACTTTTCATTGTGGAACTCCCACCAATTAAAAGTGGAAGACAATACTGTAGTTTGTACAATTCAAATATTATTCTTGGACTAAAATATTTTTACAATATGAGATATTAACTAAGATTTGTTTCTAGTTTCTAAATCCACTGAAGGTCAAAGTGTTTCTATTAGCTTCAGTCAGTTCAAGATCAGGCACTTAGTAATATCTGAACCAGTGTGAAAATGATATGAAATAAACTTCAGAGTCTGAATTTCAACATGGGGATAAAATGTTTTGTTTAGACAGAAGCAGGTTTCAAATGCAGATTTTCAAATGGGTTGTATGGCAGAGGGGATTTCAGTTTTTTGTATTACTTTATTAAACATTTCTTAATATAAAAATAGCTTTAAGTAATTTCAATCCCCAAGCCCTTTTGGTACTTAAAGCAGTTTAAATAAACTGGTTTTGAAATTATATCAATATTTATGACTTAAACATCTGCAGGTTGGAAATTGTTTGGAGATCTCTGAATTTGTGTTAAGGCTGTACAGGAAAACCCATTTAAGATTATTTACTCAGATTCTAACATGTGTGTCCAACATAAAGTGGCAAAACTTTGAATCTTCAGTAGAATTACTTAATTCCAGTAAGCATGTAAGTGATGTACATTTACCAGGCAGTATGTTGTAGGGTGCTATTTCTGAAGCTATAGTTCTGCTTGATAAGTAGTAGCAAATGATTTTATGAGCTACTTCTTTTTCAGAGTATTTTTGGGGGAAAAAGCAACCGCAAGAATGTGCAGTTCACAATAGCAGTTTATTCTGATAATGCTGTTGCTGGTATTGTGTACTACTTGTTTTCTAATTTAACAACATGGTAATACTGTACTCAAACAAATAATGCCAGTACAAAACTTCTTTGGAAAGAGACAATTGGAGTTTAGAGCAGGTGGATAGATTTTAGAAATAAATTACTGCAGATTGGGATTGCACAAAAGGATTTAGGAAGGGTTTATGAAGAGTATTCACAGAGTACGATGAAGATTCCCAAAGCTGAGATGTAGAGTTGGGATGATCTTGTGATTATGGTACAGGATTTGGAATCAAGAAGTTTGGAAACTGTTCCCGTGTAACTGCAGGCTAGTCACTACTGATAGATTTTTAAATGCCTAGCTTCCCTTCTACAGGTACAGATTATCTCTACAGGAGCAGAGAGGCTGATCCTTGACGCGGCTCAAAATGTTTCCCTTACATCCACTGCAGTGGTACCCCTGTTTAAAAACAAACAAACCAACCCCCTCCCTGTTAGGTAGATGTTAACAGATAATCACCTTCCTGCTAATCCAAAGAACCTCATAGGATCTGCTCCCTCAAACAAGGGCAGAGAGACCAAGACCTAGGGGCTACTTTTGCTTATTTCATAGAGGGATAAGGGATCTTTCAGAAAAGGCTTTAATTTCCGCAAGATCAGCGTCTAGACTGGCGCTTTTTTCCGACAAAGCTCCATGCCAAAAAAAAGCGGCAGCCATTTTTATGCTAATGAAGCGTGGGAGATTTAAATCCCCGCTTCATTAGCAATTGCGATATGTCTAATTTACATCCCTTTTCCGAAAAAGGGATGTAGCCTAGACGTAGCCTTTGTGTAACACTTTCTCCCATCAGAATAAGGGGCACAGTAATAATTTTCTATTTCCCTCTCATGTTGAAGTTAAAGTTATTCACTTTGGTAAAGCCTGTTGAGAGCTTAAAATGGAAAGGGCTGTCTCATTCCTTGTATTCATTGAAGGGTAACTCACTTTCACCAGGAAACTGGACTCTTGTATTGGTTTCCCAGCCATGCCATTTGGACCTTGCTCTGCCTCCAAGTTTCCTGAGAACATCTTTTTAAATGTTCAGTTTAATTTTCAAAGCACAGCATGAATACCATAATTGAAAAAAGTAGTATTGGCCCAGAATCTCAACTATGGCTAGTACACATTGGCTGGCATGATTTTGCGGAAATACTTTTAACGGAAATTTTTTTCCGTTAAAAGTATTTCCGCAAAAGCGCATCTAGATTGGCAAGTGCCTTTGCGCAAGAGATTTGCTTTTGCGCAAAAGCATCTGTGGCCAGTCTAGACGCGATTTTGCGCAAGAAAGCCCCGATCGCCATTTTAGCCATCGGGGCTTTTTTGCGCAAAACAGTTCTTCCCTGTCTACACTGGCCCTTTTACGCAAGTATTCTTGCGCAAGAGGGCTTTTTCCCGAGCGGGAGCGTGAAAGCATTTGCACAAGAAGCTCTGATTTTGTACATTACAAAGTCAGTGCTCTTGCGCAAATTCAAGCAGCCAGTGTAGACAGCGGCCGCTTTTGCGCAAAATCTTGCCAGTCTAGACACACCCATTAGGTATAGGTGTTAAGGATGGAGCTGTCAAACCAGATCTTTACAGACCTAGTGCTGAACAGTAGAAAATCTGATTCAATATAATCAATGTACAACAGTTTATGGAGAAAGAAGGCCACAAGCAGGATAAGGTTATATAGTGCACTCTCCCTAGTGAACCTCCATTCCCAAAACATACACCCTTAATAGCTATGGGTATGTCTACACTGCCACCCTAGTTCGAACTAGGGTGGCAGTGTAGACATACCCTATGTTGGCTTTACAGAATATTCTTATTGGCAAGCAGAACAGATATAGCTATCAATTCTAGATGAAAACTTCTTTCTCTTCTCTTCTCTTCTCTTCTCTTCTCTTCTCTTCTCTTCTCTTCTCTTCTCTCTAATGTATTTGATCTGTCCCAGGTTTCCTCAAAGCAAGGTCTTAGTTGCCTTGAAAACTTCTGGTTCACACTCGAGCCCACAGAACAGAGTTTTGGCCATTCTTGTTTAGTACTCTCACAGGCCCCTCAAGAGGTTAAGTAACGATTTTCCTTGTGCACCCTTGCAGAGGCATTTTACTTAACATTTATACTCTTTGTTTCAAAGGAGTCACATGTCTTAATGCCATGCCCTCTGGGCATATTGAGGGCTGTTTGTAGGAGGATGCAGGGCCCAGGACAGCCCCCCTCTATCTGGGCCTCACCTTTTCTCACCCCTGCTCCACTGCTGCTCCGCCTTATCGTGCCCTTGTCTGCTCTCTCCCACCCCCATTGCACCTCTTTTCCAAAGCCCCCTCCACTGAGTGATACAACTTCGGGGGATTACTGAGGGGTCTCATGCAGGGCAGCAACTGGGGTCAGTCCCCTCCACTCACCGTGCTAGCAGGAGATGTAGGAAGCAGAGCAGCACAGCAGCTAGGGGAGTAGAGCAGGCTGGGGCCAAGTTACTCTTTTTCCTGCCACCACTGTGAAGTGGAGCAACATGGCTGTAAGGTGGTAAAGCACAGAGCAGGGCTGCCAAATCTCTCTGCTTCTCACGGCTCTGACTGCCACAGAAACTGCAGAGGGGCCAACCCCAGGTCCCCCCTCCATGCCAGCCTGAGCCCAACAGATGAGGTTGGAACTAACCTCAATATGGGGAATCATCCCATCTGAGGGCGGGGGGTTGCATGCGGTGTGGGTCGGCCACCTGGAACCTTCCTATGGATGGGAATGCTCTGGGCATGTTATTACTAATTTCTACCTAATTAATACTTCATGAAGAGGCTGCAGAGTAGTGCCAACTGAAAATCATCCCACATCTATTCCCTTATCAATCGTTCATTTTAGCCCTTGTGTTATGTCTTTCAACAAGGTCCACATGCCCTGGTCAGGTTATGCTTCACTCTATACCTGTTGTTTGCTTTCAAGTAGACATATCTGTCTGCTGACCCACAAATCAGTATTGATGATTGTCAAGACTGTTCCCCACTCTGGCATGATGAATGCAGAAGTGGGGGGGGCCCTCAAAAGCAATCCCATAACCTGATCTCTACAAGCTTTGGTACAAAAACTCCCCCCCCCCAAATCCTAATACCCGGATTTTGGGGAATCCGCTGCCACCATCAAGTTGAACCCACAAACAGGGGTGGACACTTGAAACCAACCCCAGGGTACCCCAAACTCTTTTCTCCAAAAAGCTGGAAAAAGAAAAGAGAAAATACAAGCTGCAGTCTGTGATGCTGTCCCCTCGTCAGGAGCAAGCAGAGCTAAAGCTGGGTGAGGACTTCTCTGCGCCAGGGAAACTGCCGAATTTATACAAACTTTGGTATCTTCCCAAAGTGCACCAAAAAGGCAGCTGAAAATAAGGCATACTTGCCGGGTATATAAAGGAATTGAGTCATAAAAACTTAGGGTTAGAAGAGACCTCAGGAGGTCATTGAGTCCAGCCCCCTTCCCAAAGCAGGACTAAACCCAACTAAACCATCCCAGCCAGGACTTTGGCAAGCTGGGACTTAAAAATCTCTAGGGATGGAGATTCCACCCTCTCCCTAGGGAACCCATCCCAGTGCTTTCCCACCTGCCTAGTGAAATAATATTTTATAATATCCATCCTTGACTCCCTGCAGGAAGTTGAAGGCTGCAATCAAATCCCCCTTCACTCTTCTCTTCTGCAGACCAAATAATCCCAAATCCCTCAGCCGCTCCTCATGTGTTGTGCGCTCCAGCCCCCTCATCATTTTGGTTGCCCTTGGCTGGATCCTCTCCAATGTGTCCACATCCTTTCTGTAGTGGGTGGCACAGAACTGGATGCAATACTCCAGATGTGGCCTTGCCAGTGCCGAATAAGGGGGAATAAACACTCCCCAGCTCTGCAGACAATACTCCTACTAATGCACCCTAATATGCCATTAGCCTTCTTGGCTACAAGAGCACACTATTGACTCATATCCAGATTCTCATTCACTGTAATCTTCTAGGGATGTTACATTTCAATTAATCATCAATTAATCAAGTAGTCAATGGAATTT